ATATATAAAAAAAAAAAATCAACCTGATTTTTTTCCTCTCTGCAGAGACACGTGCTCACAAAAACCAGGCACAATTATTTTTCAACGGGTCCAAATGAGGTGACGAGATGAAAAGGTGCTGGTTGACTTACACAGCACAAACATTTTATCCCTCTTTTTCCACCCAAATCAATCGCAGGCTGCGACGTTACACAATTTCTTTCCTTTTTTTTTTTTTTTAAATTTAATTTTTTATTTCTTTTCTCGCTTGGATCTTTTAAGAACAGTTTTGGCTCCGCGGCCTCGCAGAAGGAAATCTGCGAGCTGAAGAATTTGAAGCTATTTCAGCTCTTTCTTTGCTACAAGAAGCCATCTGCCTCCCAGGCATTGTCCCAGTCTACGCTCGGTAGGAAACCAGTTTGGTCGCTGGCCGCGTATCTGGATCCACGCGGAGAGGTGTTTGGCCAAATGGTTTTCGTGTTTACACCAACAGGCAGCCAGAATTCTGCTTCTCTCTCCAGCAGAGCGGGTCTGGCTTTCGATGAAGGTATTTTTTAATCAGGTCACTCGTTAGCATTTCCTCAGGTATCTGCTACCTGCGGCTTCGGTCTCAAAACCGCCGAAGCCACGCTGAATTTAAAGCCTTTCCCAAATGCTCCCAAGAGCTCACCCCTCCTCATCCCCACAGGAGATCTCTGAGAAGGTGAAACCTCCCTGAAATTCTGCCTCTTTTCTGGGAGAAGTGAGTACGAAGAGTTTTCTCACCCTGCAGGCTCTGCAGCTCCTTTAAGTTCCTGAGATCCCTCAACCTTCGCTGCCAAAAAGATGCTGGAGAAGTCTGTGACCCGCATCCCTCCTCTGCTTTGCCTGTAGGTACCGGGTACCATCGTTCAACCCCCAAATTTTCAGGCGTGCTCCTTTGTGTTTCCTCCAAACAGGTTCCTGGCTCCTCTGCACCCCTCTTTTTGGGATCCCCTGAAGGGGGTGATGCTCAGAGCATCGTGTGCTGGGGGCATCACCTCCCACCCCTGGTGGGCTTCATCCTGTTCCTCTCTCTGACCAAGATGAATCATAGAATCACAGAATGGTTTGGGTTGGAAGGGACCTCAAAGATCATCCAGTTCCAACCCCCCTGCCATGGACAGGGACACCTCCCACCAGACCAGGTTGCTCAAGGCCACATCCAGCCTGGCCTTGAACACTTCCAGGGATGGGGCATCCACAACTTCCCTGGGCAGAATGAAGCCTCATTACTGGAAAATACATACATATATATATATATATATATACACACAATAGATATATATCTTCACCATCTAGGCTGCCTTGGTGTTTGCTAGAGATCCCACACCAGCTGGCAACCCCACACTCGTGCCCCCGACCCCTGGTCCCACTGCAGTCCTCACTCTCAGCCCCCTCTATGCACAGAAAAGAGTCCCTCACCTTGGAAATAATTAGAAAGGGATGTTAACGAGCGAACAGGACAGACGGCACTGCTCACACGCAAGGCACAGCCAAGGGTGCCAAACTGGCAACCTCCTTACACACAACCAGCCCTTTGCATCCTTTTCCTACCCTTGTTCCCCCCAAAACACCTTGATCCCTGCCTTTGTTTTCTCCTCTAAGTGTCCCATAATAAGCCTTGTGCAATCCTAAAACGCTCTTTCCATGTTCCATACCCTCAGGCAGAGACACCCTCCCCATCATAGCATCATGGAATGGTTAGGGTTGGAAAGGATCTTCAAGACCATCCAGTTCCAACCCCCTGCCTTGGGCAGGGACACCTCCCACCAGCCCAGGTTGCTCCAAGCCCCCTCCAACCTGGCCTTGAACCTTTCCAGGCAGCCACAGCTTCTCTGGGCAACCTGGTCCAGGGTCTCACCACCCTCCCAGAGCATCCTTTCAGAGCAAGGCATCCACTACTTCTTTTCCCTGCCTGCTCTCCTTCCCATGAGAAAAAAAAAACACAAACCTGGGAGAAGGGACCAAAGGGAGCTGCCGTGCTCTGCAACGTGTCTGGACAAGACAGAAATCAGCCCTCTCGGGCATATCATGGAGAAAAAACCCACCACGCAGAGGGAACCTCAGAAGGAAATTGTCCTATCTTGCCCTGCTCGTCCCCCCACAGGGTTGGACACCTCCCAAGCACCTGCAGGGAGTGTTTGGAAAACCCAAAAGCCTTCAGAAAAGGTCCCTGCAGGTGTCCTCACTATCAACGTGTTAATGCACGGGGCTGGAGGAAGAGGCATCTCTTTGATGCTCCAAGATCTGCAGCTCCAAGGCAAGCTGAACTACTGGAGGAGTTCTGCTCCCGTGTCCCTGAAACCCCTGCCCTCCCCACCCAGAGAAACATAAGAAAACCACATTTATTTCACTTTTCCCTTCCTTTCACATTCCCTTCCTTTCACATTACCTCCCTGCTTCAGATATATATCTATTTTTTATTAAATCTGAAATCACCTAGAGCAGACAACACCAGGAACGGAGGATTTTACGTGGAGGGGTTCCAAGGCTCCAACCACGAGGTCACCCTGGGACAGCAGGTCAACCCAAGGTTGGCTGCACCCCCAAAACCCCACAACCCTGCACCTGTAAGTACAAGTGGGAGATTTCCCCCAGAGCCCGACTTTAGGTTGAAAAAAGAACGCTACAGAACACCAAATTGAACTTATAATGCAACAGGAGAGGGAAGCATTTGAATTTGAGTGGGATTTAGGAAGAAAAGCATAAGTGCTGGCATCGCACAACATGTTCCGCGCAGTATAAAGGTCCAACTGAGCCTTTCTCTACAGCTGATTTTATCAAGAAAAGAAGACGAAGAAAAAAAAAAAGAAAAGAAAAGAAAGCAGCAAGAACATAAAAGCCTGTGTGAGTCTTATCAACAGCCTGGGGAGGATCCATCCCTGCAGCAACCTCTCTGTGCTCTCTCTTCCTCAGCCCTGCTTCCACCTCCCTCGTAGCCCAAGAACCTCTTCTTACCATAATTAACAATTTTAATGGAGGGCTTGTTTCAAGCCAATCACATCAGCCCATTATAGGCAGTTTCACAAAGTTGCATTTACAATTCCAGTGATCTACACTTGGAAACAAAAGATATACAAGGGGAAAAGGTTATTTGGGAGGGGGGTGTCAAAATAATCAAGAGATTTGATCATTAGCGACGCGTTCGAAATACAGCCTGAAGAAAGTCTTCATTGAAGGAGTAAAAGTTTCTCTCACCACATCCAAGATTTTTGGCTGTCACCTCTGACCCGAGGTCGAACTGATGTTTTCAGCCCCCATGGCTCCAAAAATATTTATCAGGACGCTTTTTGTTTTGTCTACGGGCTTCAGCAGGGCATCATCTGCACCCTGAACTAGAGAGCACCTCCACGAAGGTCCTGGAGGAGGAAGGACCTGGAAGAAGGACCTCTGAGGACAAGTGTTGGCTGCCACCAGCAAGGCAATTTGGACTTTGGTGTCGCTACGAGCAGCATCCACCCGGGTGCCAATTAACACCTCCAGTGATTGCAATGACATGGACATCTGGCTGCAGAGAACACCACGCGCCGAGTCCAACTGCTGCTGCCTGGAGAGCTTTCCCTCTGGTTTAGATTTCGGGGTTGTTTTTTTCCAAAAGTCTTCCACCCCAGCACCCTACGGGCTTTGCCACACTATCCAGACCTTCTCCTGAACCCATCAGCCACCTGTGGCACCAGAAATCGTGCTCCTCTTTTGGAAATCTCCCCTTTCCTTCCTGACAGTGCGCAGACTGATCCTTCTACTGCAGACCTCTGCCTTTCTACCCATGGGCAGGTGGGTGTTCAGCCACCCCCAGGAATGCCAGGCTCCACCAGGTGGTTTGGGAAGACAAACACCATCATTCCCAACATGTCCCCCCTCCCTTCCTTCTTCTTTTCCAGCTTTATAATCTCAGCACGAAGCCACATGGTACCTGTGGTCAGTTGGGGTCAGCTATTCCGGCTGTGACCCCTCCCAAACCTTTGTGCCCCCCAAAGCCCATCGCAGGGAGGAGCAGAAAAGGCCTCATGAGCTCAGTAACAACAAAACCCACCATCGCACCGTCATACCATTCCCATCCCAGCTCCAAAACGCAGATCCAAATCCAACTGTTAACTTCAGCCCAGCAGAAACATCACACGGGCAGGACAGCACATTTTCAAACAAGCTCCTTCATGTTTTGCCAGAGAATTTTCACTTGCGACTTCATAGAACGGTTTGGGTTGGAAGGGACACCTCCCACTAGAGCAGGTTGCTCAAGGCCCCATCCAGCCTGGCCTTGAACACCTCAAGGGATGGGGCAGCCACAACTTCCCTGGGCAACCTGTTCCAACTTCCCTGGGCAAACCTGTTCCAATTTTTGGGCAAAATTTCCAATTTTTGCCAGAGAATTTTCACTTGCGACTTCACAGAACGGTTTGGGTTGGAAGGGACCTCAAAGATCATTGAGTTCCAACCCCCCTGCCCTGGGCAGGGACACCTCCCACTAGAGCAGGTTGCTCAAGGCCCCATCCAGCCTGGCCTTGAACACCTCAAGGGATGGGGCAGCCACAACTTCCCTGGGCAACCTGTTCCAACTTCCCTGGGCAAACCTGTTCCAATTTTTGGGCAAAATTTCCAATTTTTGCCAGAGAATTTTCACTTGCGACTTCACAGAACGGTTTGGGTTGGAAGGGATCTTAAAGACCATCCAGTTCCAAACCAAATGCCACAGGTAGGGATATCTTCAACTAGACCAGGTTGCTCCAAGGCCCCATCCAACATGGCCTTGAACCCCTCCAGGGATGGGGCAGCCACAGCTTCTCTGGGCAACCTGGGCCAAGCTCTCACCACCCTCACACCAAAGAGATATACCCAAAATCTCCCCTTTTTCAGTTGGAAGCCGTTACCCTTCATCCTATGGCTCCCCTCCCTGATCCAGAGTCCCTCCCCATCTCTCCTGGAGCCCCCTCAGGGACTGGAAGGGGCTCTGAGGTCTCCCCACAACTTTCTCTTCTCCAGGCCGGAGAACCCCAACTCACTCAGCCTGTCCTCCCAGCAGAGGGGCTCCATCCATGGCTCATCTCCGAGGCCTTCTCTGGTTGAATCCAAACCCCCAGGACAACCAGGATGGGGTTGGATCCCGGGGTGTGTGTGTGTGGGGGGGGGTGTCTCAGAGGCCCCACAGGCCCAGCGCGCCCCCCTCCTCACAGCCCGCCCTCCCTCCCACTGCCCCCCTCAGGCCTCGCCCACCCCCTCAAGCCCCGCCCAGGAACCGGCTCCACCGCCCAATGGCGAGGCGGGGAGACGAGGCGGGGGCGTGGCTACTGAGGTC